TGTTGCTGTTTGTACTCCTGCCCTCGCTGGTGGTGCAGCTGCTCAGCTTCCGCTGGTTCGTCTACGACTACACGGAGCCCGCGGGGACCCTGGGACCGGCCGTCAGCACCAAGGACAGGGGCGCCGGCGGGCTCTCCGTCAGCACTAAGGACAGCGCCGCCGCCTTCCTGGCCAAAGAAGGCGGCTCCGAGCTGGGACCCCGGCCCGCGCCCTCCTCGGCCAGCGCCCACCGCCGCCGCTGCTGTCGCCTCTGCGTCTGGCTGCTGCAAACCCTCGTCCACCTCCTGCAGCTCGGCCAGGTCTGGAGGTAGGAGAAGCGCAGGTGGAGGGAGCTGATTCCGAGGAGTCTGGGTAGCGCGGGGGGGGCTGCCTCCCACCCCAGTCTTCCTCTGACCTCTCTAGGTCCCCTCGTATCCTGACCCCACCCTAATGTAGCTCTGACTTTTTTCTCTGCCAGCTCTTCCCTGCCCTCTGCCCTCAAACTCTGACCAGCCCCAGAGCCATCCTCTTATCTGGCCATTGAGGGAGGAGGGGATGGAGCAAGAAGAGAGAGGAAGGACCCTGGGCTAATGAACATGAGTGTGAAGCTTGGAACAGAGCCCCAGGGCTCCCTCCAGCCCTGACCCACTCCTTTCTGCCCAAGTGCTGAGCCTGGGTTTAGGAAAGATCTCAGAAGTCCTCCCTTGCTCTCAGAGATTCTCCGTTCAGAATGGAAGTCCATTCTCAATCTCCCAGGAGAAACATGGAATGTGAGGTAGCTAAATGAATATCCCATTCAAACTTTTTAGACTTTTGGGAAAGGGTATGCCAGACCCAGCTGAGGAACCGTCTGGCTCCTGTTTCTTAGGACTTCTCCAGTGTCCACCTCCTGCCCTCACCTCAACAGGCACAAGGGGATTTTGGATCTTGAATCTGAGATTCAATGGCCACTAGCTGTCCTGTAATCTCAGGGCAATAAGACAAAACTGTGGCTTTGCATGAGCAGCCTACTTCCAGGCTTACTCTGCCAGGACTAAGAGTGCCTGCTGAGCTGAGCTGAGTTAATTGGAGACTGGGGAATGCTGAACTGAGGGTTCTCCTTGAATCAGGATTGCTCCAGTAGCTTAGGCTCTGCTGTGCACTGAAAGAATTGAACTTGATACTTATGTCATCTTAGGCAAAACCCCTCTTCCTCCCAAGATTCAGTTTCCTCACCTGTGAAATATGGGAGAATTCCTTCCTCCTCATCTCACTAATCTACCATCATAGTTTTCTTACCTAGTGGGTTGGACATGTGAGAGATGGTCTGTGGGAAGGCCCTGCAAACTTCAATATGTTTTAGTAACAAAATAGATTACTGGGATTATCACAATTGTGGAGAAAGCGTGGAAAAAGTTAAAGTCACAGTAGAGATGTAAAGGATGACAATTGCTGTTCTTATCTTTATTCTGTCTGCTACTTGTTAACACAGTCTGCCTCACTCAAGATTTAGTGCTTAGCTGAGAATTGGAAACAGGACACCCAGGGCTTGTTCCAGCTGCTCACTTGCTGTGTCACCCGTGTTGTGTTGCCAAATCTCTCTCTGCCTTGGTTTCCCCCTCTATGCCTTGTCTGGATTGATGTGTATACTCCATTTAGCTGTCTTGGGGGAGAAGGAGGGTGAAGTTGTATCCACACAAGTTGGTGTTATCATTATTAGCTTGACACATAAAAATATTCATGTCTACATCCAGGAACTAATCTGCATCTATCATTCTGTGCCCGAGTGGACAGATGGTGAAAGATATTTTTAGATTCTGAAATGGTAACTTCCTATTCTTGGTGGCCAAATCCTCATTGCCCTTTCCTTCAGCCTAAAGTGGGCCAGCTGCCCCTCAACTCACTGACTACCTCAACCCTCCTTCTCCCCTTGTTCAGCATCTACGTGCAAGAAACTGATACTTCCTTCTTGAACAAGCCCTCAAATAGGGCAAAAAATGATCACGGAGTGGGGGGGAGGGCCTCAGGGGCATGGCTGGAGGTAGCTGAGGGTCCATTGAGCTCCATGGTTTCTTCAGTAAAAGGACTAGCTATTTCCACTCTCCCCCTTTTGTAAAGGGGGTTGGGACTGCAAACTAATGGCCATTGAAAGTGTTTTGTTTGGCTTGAATAGTATTTCAAAACTCTGGAATTCTTAGCTTCCCTTTAAAAAAATTTTTTTAATAAAAGGAATCTAGCAGTGTCTGGCTTGTAACAATTTAGACAGAATATATGTGCTCCAGTATGTCCAGCTCCATTCTCTTTGGTCACATTTGGGCCATTTCACATAAGCTTTAGGGGCACAAGAGCCTCATTTACAGTTCTATAACAGTTATTTTACTAAGCACTCACTTTGTGCCAAGCTTACAGTTTGCCTTTTTACCTGTTTCATTTCCTATATCCCTCCTAAGAAAACTCTGATGTGGTTGTGTTATCATTCCTACTTAACAGATGAGGGGATAGAGGCTCAAAAAGGCTACACCCTTGCCCAAGGTCACACAGCTAGGGCGTAGGAGAGCTGGGGAGTAGGAGAAGCCCAAGTTCAATTTATCCACCTTGCAGTTCTGCCACCAATGTGTCCCCCAAGCTCACAGAATTATGAGTCTGAGATCCCAAGATTCTAGGATGATAGAAAGTCACGGCTTCTGCTGCACTGAGATAAGACTGTGAAAGAAGGGGGGGGGTGGGTGTGGCGCGGCGCGGGAAGGACCATGTGGGTAAGGATGGGAGACAGTGTATATTGTGGGGAAAGTGCTGGGTTGGGGCAGTGGATCAGGAGACCTGTGTCTCCACCCAGGTTTGTAACTAGCCTGCTAGGTGTGCATGGGTGAGGCTCTTCCCACATCTGGGCTGCAGTTTTTCTGTATGTCAAATGAGAATATTAGATTTGATGACTTTAACAGCATTCCTTTTCTGTAAGTCTAACTATGGTCTAGCTATCAGAGCTAAAACCTCTGGGCACCTGTCCCAAAACCTTTGGTTTCTAAAATGGCTGAGGGTCTGGCTAAATGGAGGAAAATCCAGACAAGATATAGAGAAGCCAGCAGGGCTGGTATTCCTAGAAGTTAAGCAACGTTGGCACAACCTGTTTGCTTACCACATGAAATGTTCCCACAGTGAACAGGCTCACTGCTCAGCAGGACTCAGTGCTGATGTTCCGGAGTACTGAGGAAAGGATGTGTCTGAACCCTCCAGGATCAACGCTGACTTCTCTGAGCCTCACTTTTTTCAGGAGGTGACAGGATCAAAAGGGTCAGGGTTAGGAAGTTAATTGGCTTAACAGCCCTGAGTGGCTTAAGTTCTCAGACGGTTGGGGTGGAGGGTAGGGAGGAATGAAAACACAGGTTGGTGTCCAGCCCATAGCCAGCTCATGTCCCACCAAAGGATCTGTGTGCCGTTCTCTTGGGGTTCAATCTGTACACGGCCAATGCTCTGAGACACGCCCCCTCTCCCCACCCAATGCAGTCATTCACCTCCTGATCTCACATCCCCAATTCCGAATAAAATAATTTAAGTCATAGCCGAAGCCGGTTTGGCTCAGAGCGTCCGCCTGCGGACTGAAAGGTCCCGGGTTCAATTCCGGTCAAGGGCATGTACCTAGTTTGCGGGCACATCCCCAGTAGGAGATGTGCAGGAGGCAGCTGATTGATGTTTCTCTCTCATCAATGTTTCTGACTCTCTCTCTCTCTCCTTTCCTCTCTGTAAAAAATAATCAATAAAAAAATATATAAATTTTTTTTTTAAAGTTTAAAAAAAGTAATTTAAGTCATAAAGATATCTTTCAACTCCTCATGCTTGTACAATACTGGATCAAAAGCTTAAATACTCTGAGAAGCCAGGAAACACAGACCTGTGTCCGTATGTGGATGTCAGTCAAGAGGACATTTGGGGGTAAGCAGTGTCCTAGAGAAGGGGAAGCCACCGCCTCGCTCCAGCTGAGGGATTGTCAAGTCGTGATTTATCAAGAGAAGTGGAAAATTGGGATTTTTGTGTGAATTCTTCCAATTTCCAATTACTAATTAATATTTTTCAAACGTGTCAACCAAAGTTCACACATCTGTGGGCTTGTCTTCTTTGTGACCTCTGGCCTAGCTCTGCACACCTCATAAGTTCTTATTCTAGTTCCAAACAACCTTGCAAAATGGGTGTTGGCATTATTATTTTAAACACAAAATGGGGCTCTGAGGAGGGAGATGAGGGGGAGGACTTCATGGACACCACGCCCCCACTCCATCCCAGTCGGCCCCATGTGAGGTGCTGCAGGCACAGCATCTTAAACCCTGAAACTGTCCCTCTGTTGGCAAATGACACACATTTACCAGACAAAAAAGTGAGGTTCAGAGAAGTCAAGTCACTTGCCCAAGGTCACCCTCTAAGGAAATGGGGGAGAGGGTGAGGTGCCAGCCCAGTTTTGCCCAACTCCCAAGCCCAAGCTCTGTCCCTGGCAGCACCGTGCTGATTGCACAGGGGGCAGAGGGAGGAGGCGTCTCAGACCATTGGCCGTGTACAGATTGAACCCCAAGAGAATGGCACACAGATCCTTTGGTGGGGCATGAGCCGGCTGTGGGCAGGACACCAACCTGTGTTTTCATTCCTCCCTACCCTCCACCTCAACCGTCTGAGCAGTTAAGCCACTCAGGGCTGTTAAGCCAATTATCTTCTAACCCTGTCTCCTCTGACCCTATGGGCAGCAGAGCAGTAAGCCATGACTCCTGCTTTCCCTAATCTTGAATTCACTGGGCTCCAGCTTTGCTCAGATAAGCATGGTTTGCTAAGCCAATTAGTGGGAGATGATCTGACCGGGTATTCCTTCAGCTGTCAGGATCTGGAGACCCAGGATGGGGAGGGAGGGAGGCAGATGGGCTTTGAAGGCCCTCCCTCTGCGACCCCCTCTATGTCTAGGCCTGAGCACTGCTCCCTCTGCCTCCTCAAGAGTCCTGCTTGGTGTGAAAATCAGGCCCTGTGTCTCTTCCCTGGGAAGCCATCGTCTTGGAATAATGGTTAAGTACATGGACTCTTGCCCTAGCCGGTTTGGCTCAGTGGGTAGAGCGTCAGACTGCAGACCGAAGGGTCTCGAGTTCAATTCTGGTTAAGGGCATGTACTTCGGTTGCAAGCTTGATCCCTGGCCCTGGTCGGGGCAGGGGTGGGAGGCAACCAATTGATGTGTCTCTCCCCCTCCCTTCCACTCTCTCTAAAAATTAATGGAAAAATATCCTCCAATTGAGGATTAACAAAAAAAGAACATGGCCTCTAATTCAAATGTCCTCAGTTCAAATCCCGGTCCTATCACTTCCTATATGTGACCTTGA